GTGTGTGTGTGTGTGTGTGTGTGTGTGTGTGTGTGTGTACCGATTCCGCGAATTAAAACCGCAAATATTTCTTTCGTTTTATTATAATTTAAATCAATTATTTACTCGCGCACATATTTACGTTACGCGTATCGTAGTAATGTAATTTAATTTCTGTTACCCAGGGCGTAACCTGTATAGAATATAAGCACTGTCCGTGTATCCATGGTAACAGGGAGTACCAGCCCGGAGATAACAGGAAGGAGCGATGCAACACGTGGTCTGTATATGCCATCGACCTAAAACACAAATCTTACTACCTAATTGATAACTCGATATTGTGCCACAATTACTCACAGTTACGCACCATTACAAAGATTTAAAAATTCTACTGGTGTCGCTGCTTTCATATGCTCCCCGTTGCGTCTCTTGTCGTATGCAAATGTTCGAAACTCGATATATCCAGCAATTCTTATGTCGACTATTTCAGCGAATGCGAGGGTGGCCGGAAGTGGAAGTGCACCAGTGTAGAATGCGTTGGTAAGGAGACGTACTAAAATCCTATCACTATCTATCTATACTAATATATCTCATTCGAATGTTCACCCACGTCGTGTAGCGGCAGTGAAACTCAGTGAATCCCGTAAAGAGAGTTCAGTCCTGCGCTGCACACGCTTCTCTAAATTATATAATAAGTAATAATATAAATCACACTGGATTGCGCTGGCATGGCAACTATATATTAATGCGCTACACACACACATAGGCGTCTGCCACGCGATCATTATAAAGTATGTAATGGTTATAAATTGCAATGTTTATCACATTAGATTCCGTCCGTATAATATTATATAAACTAGTTAAGCATAGGCACCTCTCGCACTGTCATTATTGTAAAGTACACACATATAATACACACATTAGATCGCGTTCATGTAGGCACTATATACATTTGATGCCCACACACATCTGCCACAGGATCGTTACATTGTACATAATAGTAACACTAGATTCTGTCGCTATACATAATAACTATGTAAACTTATTGCGCGCGTATATAGGCACCTGTTACACTGCCATTATAAACTACATAATGTTACACTAGATTTCGTTGCCATGATAACTAAGTTAATTGTCTTCGCGTATATAGGCATCTGTCACACGATGGGAGAATCGCACTACATCACCTTCGACCAGCATCCGTACGACTTCAAGGGCGACTGCAGCTACACGCTGACGAGGGACATGTCCGAGGCTAAGAACTTTGACATCGTCGTGTCGAACATTCCCTGCGGCACGCTGGGTGTTACGTGCAGTAAGAGCGTAGAGATACTGCTCAGTCAACACACGAAGATCGCATTCGTCAGGGGTAGAGAGGTGAGCCGGAGAGTTATAGTATCTGCTTTGTAGTGTTATTGTAGTATATTATTGTAGTATAAGTATCAGTAGTATCTGCTTAGTAGTGGTATTATAGTAGCAGTAGTTTTTTCTTGGTAGTAGTATTAAAGTATTGGTATTAGTATTAGTATTAGTATTAGTATTAGTATTGGTATTAGTATTGGTATTAGTATTAGTATTAGTATTAGTATTAGTGATAGTATTAGTAATATAATTAGTATTAGTATTAGTATTAGTATTAGTATTAGTATTAGAATTAGTATTAGTATTAGTATTAGTATTAGTATTAGTATTAGTATTAGTATTAGTATTAGTATTAGTATTAGTATTAGTATTAGTATTAGTATTAGTATTAGTATTAGCAGTTTGTCTTTATTAACTCCTGGTATTAGTATATTAGTAGTATCTGCCTAATAGTATTACTGTAGCATTAGTAGTAGTAGTAGTAGTATTAGAAGAATTGGCAGTGTTGCTGAGCAGTTCCCGAGGTAGTAACCGAGCAGTAACCGAGATATACGTGCGTGCGTGCATACGTATACATACGTGCGTACGCGTGCGTGCGTGCGTACGTGCATGTGCGCGTGCGTACGTACGTGCGTGCGTGCGTGCGTGCGTGCGTGCGTGCGTGCATACGTACGTACGTATGTACGTACGTGAGTACGTGTGCGTGCGTGCGTGCGTGTGCGCGCGCGCGTGCGTGCGTGAGTGCGTGTGTGCGCGTGCGTGCGTGTGTGCGTGCGTACGTGTGCGTATGTACGTACGTGCGTACGTGCGTGCGTGCGTGCGTGCGTGCGTGCGGCGTGCGCGCGTGCGCCTCTCACCTCGAACATGCATGGATCGGTGACGTTCATCGCATCCAAATCCGGACAACTCGGATTCAGTTTCCAGGACTCGGCGAACGCCGTCACCACCGTCTCCGGACTCTTGCTAGCCGACGTAAAGTCGTTCAGGCTGTTGTCGTCGAAGTTTCCGCACAGGCCGGCGACATTGCCCTTGTAGGCGAGGTCCAGTAGAACCTGTATGCGCGTGCCTGAAGATGGATCGCAGGAGAGAGGTTTATGGTTAGCGAGATACGCAAGATACGCAAGATATAGCAAGATATAGCAAGATATAGCAAGATATAGCAAGGTATAGCAAGATATAGCAAGATATAGCAAGGTATAGCAAGATATAGCAAGGTATAGCAAGATACGCAAGTTACCGCATAGATAATTCTACTCTAGATAGAGATAATTATATAGTATGTCGATCGATTCATAGATATCAGGTTTGTTGATTAAGATACGCAATATAAAGATTGCAATTTAAATTTGTTTTCAACTCGACATCATTATACATCATTATTATGATATTCCTTTTAATTCGATAGCGATTTGCACTTCATACCCGAGTTCATAATGCGTTTTAATATATAAAACTATGCTATGATTTTTTTGCTTTCTATTGCTTTCTTGCTTTCGATTCTTGCTTGCCATGCTTCTTTGCTATGCTTTCTAGCTTTGCTATGCTAAGCTATGCTTTCATTACAACCCTTACCTCCATCCCACATGACGGACAGGCCGATATTGGTACTGACGGTGATGAAGAATCCAGCTTTAGTGATGTTCACTCCGCTGCCGTAGTACTTGGGTATTCGCGCCGCTATACCGTTTACTGTTACCTGGTAATTACAAACAATTACTAAGATATTACAATCAAGCACGCGAACGAAGATACGGCAAGCGCTTGGGCACGGAAATGTGCTCCGTGCGTGCGTACGCGTGCGTATGTACGTGCGCGCGTGCGTACGTGTGTGCGCGCGTGCGTGCGTGTGTGTACGTGCGTGCGTAGTGCGCATGCGCGTGTGTACGTGCGTGCGCGCGTACATGCGTGCGTGCGTACGTGCGCGCGTACGTGCGTGAGTACGTGCGTGCGAGTGTGTGCGCGCCTGTGTGCGTGCGTGCGTGAATGCGTACGTGCGTGCGTGTGTACATGCGTGCGTGCGTGCGTGCGTGCCTATGTGTATGCGTGCGTGGGTATTTGCGTACGTACCTGCGTGCGTACGTGCGCATGTGTGTGTGTGCGTACGTGTGTGCGTACGTGTGTGCGTGCGTACGTGCGTGCGTGTGTACGTGCGTGCATACGTACGTGCGTACGTACGTGCGTGCGTAGTGTGTGAGTGGGTATGTGCGTACCAGGCGTGTACGCACGTGATAAACAAATGAGAGCGGCAAGCAGCAGTCCGCAACATGAATTATCTTTATAGATCACCTCATGTGCTTATATATATAGGATATATATATATATATATATATATATATA